AACACCTGGGCTCAATGGATCCTTCCACATCAGCCTCCCAAATAGCTGGGACTACAGGTGCATGCCACCGCAGCCAGCTGTTTTTTTCCTTACTATTTTTACTTTAAAAAAAAATCCACAAATAGTCCAAAATGTTTATTTTAGAGAACTTAGAAACTATTGATGAAAAAGTGCATTTATTCTTTAGCTATAAGCATACATAATATACTATCAATGCTATATATTAAGCCATTTCCTTAATATTTCATAACAAGTTATAGATAGCTAAGAAGCAAATATCATTTTAAATAGGAATAGTTTTTTTCCTAATGCTTTTTTTTCTTTCTTTTTCTTTTTCCATTTCAGCAAAGGAGTGTGGTGGTGTCTTTACAGATTCAAAGCATATTTTTAAATCTCCAGGCTTTCCAAAGGAGTATGAGGATAACCAAATCTGCTATTGGCACATTAGACTCAAGTATGGTCAGCGTATTCACCTAAGTTTTTTGAACTTTGACCTTGAAGATGACCCAGGTTGCTTGGCTGACTATGTTGAAATATATGACAGTTATGATGATGTCCATGGCTTTGTGGGAAGGTACGTGAGGTTTCCCCGTACAGAAAGTTAGATGAATGTCCAATATTTTGTTTCATGCTTCTTTAATTAATTTTCCCTCCACTGTCCCTGCAATATTGATTTTATAATATTTCAACTTTACTACAACACCATATCCTTTTCAAAAAAGATTTTTCTTAGCTGGCTGCTACGTATACTTGTTATTAAATTAGTGATAGCTGCCTTTTGATTATTGCTGAGTTATAAGAACTCGGTAGTCTATTTATTAAAACCTCAAGATTTAACTAACAATAGGAGGAAGGAGAGATACATGAGTTGAAAAATGCGTTGAGATTTTTAAGTTGTAATTTATGTCAGCCTCCTAAAAATGATTGTAAATTTAGTAATTTTTGCCTTTTTTCTTCCTACAAAGCCTTGTGCTATGCATTATGGATGTAAGGTAAAGAAGCAAAGTATAGCCCCTTCTCTCACACAATTTAACTAAGCATATGATGAATATCTTCTTAAAATTAGCTTTCTTTGGCCGGGCACAGTGGCTCACGCCTGTAATCCCAGCACTTTGAGTGGCTGAGAGGGGAAGATCACTTGAGGCCAGGAGTTGAAAACCAGCCTGGGCAACATTGTAAGACCCCCATCTCAACAAAAAAGTTTTAAAAAAATGAGCTGGGTGTGGTGGTGCGCACCTGTAGTCCTAGGCACTCAGGAGGCAATAATGGAGGATCTCTTGAGCCCAGGAGTTCAAGGCTGTTATGAGCTATGAGCTATAGGCTATGATTGTGCCACTGCACTCCAGCCTTGGTGACAGAGTAAGACCCTGTCTCTAAAAGATAAATTAGTCGAATTAATTTTTTTTTTAAAAAAACAGTTTTCTTTGCCATAAAAAACAAGTGTTTCCTTCCTTGATATTTTTCCCTTGGTTTTGCAACATGCTGGGCCACAGTCTTTTTGTTCATACCCCAAATCTTTAATATAGTTTAAATTTTGAGTGCTTTACAATATATTGCAAAATTAAAGAGTATACAATTAGATATTTTATATATTCAGGTCCCCAGTTAATAGTCCATATTTTAGACTATCGATTATCAATATACTATGAATGATCAATTCTCTATTATAAATGATATTAATTTAATGGAAGAAAATGGTAGTGGGGACAATTTAAAAATGACAGACTCAATAGGTTTGTATATTTACTTGG